CATTGCGAGATACAGAGATTTTCTTCTTTTTTGCAATTATTTTCAATTTTTAAGTATTGTCACCTTGGGCAAATCAAAATTGATGGCTGAGAAATCATTAGACAATCAGTAATTGATCTACCCACAGGCAACTAAATTACATTTACAGTTAAAAAGGCAGAAAGCTTTGCCATTTATTTGGTACATATTTTCAACTTTATACGAGAATGACGCGGGAATTCGCAAATCTGGAATTCGCGAAACTTGAATTGGGCTGAGTGGTAGCCGATCTATCGTCAGAAAAAACTTCATCGAATAGTTAGGTGTCCTCATGTGAGTTAATTGAACCTTGAATGACCTTGTTAAGATTAATCTTCACACCACTAAGCCAGTACTTCGTCGTAATTTGCATAATCTAAAGGAACTGCAGTTGAAAGACGCGTTTTCCCTCATTGCTGTTCCTATGCATATATAAAAGCTTAATGTATTCAAGCTAAGTGGAGCCCTGAAGGCACACAATGCACGGCACAGTGTGCCACACTACGCTCATTGTACCAACTCCGTGGCGTTTATTGAGTGGACGACATGCTTATACGAATTCTCAGGCTGATCCACTCTCAAGAAATACTTTCCAATGTGAAAAGCGGAAAACAAACTGATATATTGTTATTTGGTGTGCTTAATCATTAATCCTTTCCTACCTAAATTTATTGTTACAATGTGCATGTTATAGCAATTCTCGTGATCAATTTCGTATTTTCGTAAAACTCTATAAAAAATCAAAAGAAGTAGATGGGCGAAAGCCGAGGGGGTAATCATCTTTTAATCGTCTTTTGCGCTAAGGCAGTCGGCTACATTGCACATCGGTCAGGTCATATTCTACTATTACCACTGCTGCGACACCAAATTTTTGCGTCCTTTGGAGAGAAATATTCTTTCCGCTATCGAGGAAAACCACTCAGCAACTCACAGACATGAAATATATAAATGGATTAAATGCGAAAGGGAGTTAAAATGGTTAAACATCGTCTGTTTGTCATGTAAAATATTTCCAGTAGTTGCACTGATAAGGCGAATTGACGTTTAATAAAAATTGCTTATAAAACCAGATAACCACCTAAAAAAATCATAGTGCCTGAATTATGCAAAGGCTTGAAATGGAGTAATAAGCGTGAAAGAGAAATTAAGGGTGTTCTAGGGATAAGGGGGTTATTTAAGTAATATGGTGACTTCACAATTTAAGATCACATATTTAGAATGGATTGTGAGTTTAGGAACATGCAAGGGCAGTAACGGTTAATTAGCTTTGAGGCGAAATAAGTAGATTTGAGGATGAACAGAAGCCTCAATCAGATTATACCTTATACCAAGTTAACTTGTTGGGATAATTACGGACAAACGAACAGCTTATCGAGATTTATCGAGAGTTTCCTGTTGCAAAAATTTTTTAAATTTAGTGCTCCTAAAGACGACCATGACAAATTTAAATTCCTGAATCAGGATGGTAAATAAATTTGTTTTTCAGCTTTTTCTTTAAAAAGGATCCCTTTCCGTTCCATGAGCGTAAACGGCTTAGTTGGGTTTGGTTCAGCAGTTCGTTTGGTGTAGCTTTGTGCTTTTTGGCATTTATTCCTTGGCTAGGTGAGCTCTTGCTGCGGCCAACTTTAGCTAAGATTCGTTCTCGAAGTTATGAAGGTTTTCTTGGTTTTACAGTGCTATTTCTATAATGCTTATTGGCAATGATCTTTTCTGTTCTAGAATAAATTTTTGTTTCTTAAAAGTTGTGTAATTTTATTATGCATGCGCTTCATTCTGCATATTTTATTTAATCGGTGTCTTGGACGGATCCTTGGCCCTTGACCCCCCCTTGGTATGCTGTTTATTTCAGTCTTTCGTCCACTATCTGTTTGATCAGCTCTTCGGCCTGTTAAATTCGTCTGTTGATGTGCAATTTAACCTGGTATTTATTTTACTGTTTTTACTCATTCTATGTTTAACTGAACTGATTTTTGATGCACTGTTTGATGTTCTGGTTTTTGATTTGTTGCAACATTTATTGTTTGCTATGCTTCTTTGTTGTGTGGATTGCCAGTTCTGATATTTTGAAATTCGACAGTTTTTCATGGATTTACTAAATGGATTTAAACTCATAAGTTTAAAATGTGAACTTTGTAAAATGCTTTAATGACTTTATTTTTAATCGGAGGCGATCTTATTGCCTTTTTATGGGGCTTTGGCTCACATTTTTCACTACCAGTTCTCCATTATTATGATAATAATGCATTTGTTTAGGTCGAGATAGCAATTGCCTATTTCCCTTTGACTTGTTCATTAAATTGACCTGAAATCAACGGCTTCATGTGATACTCAATTTTTTTTTAAAGTTACCTGTAGATATTGTGAATTTCTGATTCATTTATTTGCAAGTATTATTTTTGTGTTTCACTATTTGGAATCAAGTAAACTGTCGTATTTTGACCGGTTCGTTTCTCATTGTATGAATTGATGCCAAAATTTTCTTTTTGTTAAATACTACTGTTGCACTCACTGCTATTCTAGAACGCGCATAATTTTGTGGAAAATCTCTGCTAAATATTCCCTTAACACCCAAATGCTTTGATTCGATTTTATCATGGGATATACTTTAAGAATTATTATTTTTTTCATAATGCCATGTTGAGCACCTTGCTGTGTATCTTTAACATTGCTGTATATCTTTAACAGCGCTTTTAGCGCTTAATTAAACCCCTTGTGACGATCAAAAGACGAAGGTTAATATTACGATGGCTGTTGTAATGGGGGTACAACAAGAATAAAGGATATTAATTTTTAAGAGTGTATGTAAGCTAGTACGAAAAGAATGTGTCAAAATCAGAAAAAATACTAAGAAAATATGAAGGATGTTAAAGAGTACTTTAACTTAAGTATAATTTAGTAGTGGATTTTTTCACGTATATTTAAGGAATGGTTAAATTACATTTAGCATTTGTACTTGAAGAATATTGTAAAATTGTTTCCCTATATGTAATACACAAGAATTTTGTTATCTACTGTTCAAAGATTACATCTATCACATAGTAAACAAGAATGTACAATTAAATCACTTGTCGTTTTATAAGATCAACGTGTATGAGAATACTTTTAGAAATCCCGTATATATACACATATATGTACAAACAATTTGCTCGCATAAATATCTATGTATTGTATTGAAAGAAATTTTCTAACAATTTCTTCGCAATTTTATTTTGAATATTTGTAATTCTGGTTTTTGCATTTTTGTGAATATGAATATTTTTTTACGAGCTTTATTTGGCTTTTGCTTTTTTTTCAGTTTTTGCACCAAATGGAACTGTTTATTAATTTATTCTGGCTTGAATTGCAGTGATGCTGGTCAATATCGGTTTATCGTACTTTTTTATCGCAGTTTTTTAAAATATTTGTAATAAAATGAAGTAGAGATTCATTTGGGCAACTAAGTAGTATAATACTGTGCGATTTCCTTCTCTTATATTTATTACAAAAATTATTGATAATTTTGACTGTATAAAACTTGTTTCAGCAAAATAATCGTTGGAAGAGTGATATCGATCTCGCATTTACTTTTTCGCGAAAAAGTAGGATCTGCATTAAATTTCCATTAACCAGAAAATAAAATTTTCCTAAAATTCGCAGTATTTTAAAGGTGTAGCTGCCTAGGCGTATTTTAACATGTTTATTCTTTTCTAATTGAAATTTTTTTGCTGTTATCTTCTTTATTTTTTTGATTTTCAACCGTTTCAGTATGAAATATATTCAACGCGACTGGATATTTAAAGGAAAAAGTCTTGGTTATGAGAAAATCAAACGATTATCGATGAAATAATATTGATAATGTTAATAAAATGATTTTGCAAGAAAAAAATGTTAGTTGCCGTCGGCGATATTTGCTTTTTCTTGAAACTCTACCATATATATGACGTTATAGAATATTATATTTCTTTTCAATATAAAGAGAATATTGATACCTATCTCAATTTATTTTTTGTCTTAATATTTTTTCTATGAGAAATTTCAGGATTCAAGTTTTTTTTAAAATTTCGTTACATTCTATATGATTGAGAACGTATCAGTTAGGTTTAAATTTATTGATCATAACTGATAGTCGAAATGTTATTCGTATTGTTTTTTATATCATTTTATTATATTTTAGCTTTTATTGAGAAATTTGCATATAGGACAAATTAATCTAAAAATTACTTTAAAACGTACTACAGGAAAACAAATCAGCTTCGCCATAAGTAGGCGATCATAGTTTTTGAATGGAGTATAGCCAAATATCAGCATTCATATCCATCGTCCGGCATATACAATGACATTTGTGCATTGCGTTTTTTTTTTCTTTTTAGTGTTTTCTTCATTCAGACAATAGTTCGTTTTTTTGTAAGGAATTTTTTAAAGAGTTATTGGATGATAGGTATTATGTTTATTGCGAAAATAAAGTGTTTTTTTCAAAAAATGAAATGAAATTTGCTTTCTCACTAATTGATCTAGACGCATAATTAATCATCGGACGTTAAAAAATATTTTCGACAAAAATTTGTTTACTTTTGTCTCGAAATGAGTTTATTTCATTTCATTCAGCGATTGCCTTTCAAACACCACCGATATGCTTCCTTTTTCTTTTTAGTGAAACATTTTGCTTATATCTTTGATATCGCTAAGGAAACTCACTCATGTTGTTATTGGCGACGATAACGTATGCTTTCAAAATAATTGATGATGGGTGGTCGTTTATTGACAATGATTTTTTCTTTTTTGAAATTCTCAGAATACTTGAGTAGCTGTAAAAATATAGAAATAATGTGTTAATAATAACAAAAAATATCAAACGTATTTTGCGATTGAATAATTTTATCTGCAGCTGCGTATCGTTTTATTTTGCCTAATTATATATGATTTTAATGCCTAATTTAAGGTCGAATTTTCTTTGGTGGTGTTTTTATTGAAGAGATATACGAAATATCGAAACTGACGAAACAATGTCCATTGGCCACATTAATATAAGAGAAAGAAAATTGGAAGATGCTGTGTTTGAAGGATGGTTACTTAAGAGAGGTGAACACATAAAGAATTGGCGGCGAAGGTCGTTTTCCATACCTTAAATGTTATTTATTTATTTATCTTGATACGAATGGTCATAAATACATAACTGGTCTGCGTTTACATAGGATATAATGATGAAAATATTATGGGCAGTAGAGTTTGAGCTGTAAATAGTTCAAACTGTTTGCATTAAAGAGATGTGATTCATTTATTGCTAATATATTTATAAAAGCAACTAATAAAACTTTTGTTTATTTCGTATTTATCAGAGGATTGGTAATTCGTCGTTTAGAATGAATATAAGGTTTACTGATATACTAATAACTAGACTTTTTTCTCATAAGTTACAGGATTTTTTTTAAAGGTATTTTATGTTGTATGATGATGGAGCATTGTTTGGTTTCAAAACCAAGCCTGAACTTGGTCAGCCATTTCCAGATCCTTTAAATGATTTCATTGTGAAAGGAGTTCAGGTAAATGAATCAATTTGAATAGGAAAAAGTCTTTAAATTAAATTAAGGACCTATTTTCATAAATTTTTTTAATTTGTTAAAATTTTAGTTTTGATTTGTTATTTGTTTGTTGTAATTTAATTAAACTCGATAATGAGTCTTAGTAAATTGATTTACCGATAATTTAATATATTTTCATTTGAGCTATTTTTATTCAATTGATATAAAAAAATTGAACAATTTAGTTTTTCCCTTGCAAAATAATTTCACAAAAAAAATTTAATTTCTTTTATGCGAAAGCTTAAAATAAATTTTTATGAAAAAAAATATCCTTTGAAAAATTGATTAATCAACTTTATGTTTCGCTTATTTTCATCGTTTTTCCATTCGTCATTTTTACTAGCTTGTACTTTTGAGTTTTTCCAAATCGAAAACATGTTTATAGTTATTGATGGAACGCAGTATGCTCGCCCATCTAGTGATTAAATCAACTCGCTAGCTCGATTCCAGTTGTTTTCTTCATGTTTTTATGCTTTTGATGGTTGCTAGATTAGTTCTCTATTTTTTTGAACATTTCTTAGCATACGTTCTATCATTAAATCATTTTTTTATTTAGCCTAAGTTGGAAGCAAAAGCTGGAAATGAAAAGTATAGGTCAAGGGGGAAGAAATTGAGATTTCCAGAGCAATTACGAGATATAAAAGAAATGCGAGAGATGTATAGGTGCATACAAAAAACTTCTTCTACAGGATCAGTAGAAAGATGAAAGGAATACGGAAAATTTTTTAATCATTTGCTAAGAACTGCAAAATTTGACCTTATGATTTTATTGTGGGACAAACAATTAGGTATGTATCTATGTTTGGGATAATTATTTATGTATGTTTGGAATATTGCAAATAATTTAAAGTAATTACTTTAAATTTATTGGTGTTTATTTAACGCATAGATGGATTTTTATTTGAGACATTTATAGTGTTGAACATTTTTTGAGAATTTTTAATGAAAATATAGAGAGAATGAAGTGGTGAAGAGGATTTATTTTTATAATAATCTGCTCGATAGTGGCATAAAAATATGAATTTTATTGATATTGTTGTGGAGGATTTATCTATTTGATTATAAGTGGTGAAGATATTTATTTTATTGAAAATTTTTTACAATTTATCTAAGGGATTTTTGGCTTTTCTTTCTTTTATCTTTATTAATGTTATTATTGTTTTTATTTTATGCAATTTATTTAAGTAATAAGGAAGATTGGGCTGACAGATTGGCATTAAATCTTTAATTCACCTTTAAGCCTTTGCTAAAATTGTTTTTCTTAGGAAAATTAAGAGATTTTTAGAGATAATAACTAGTAACTAGGCTAGGCTTAGAGTTAAATAATATTAAGGAGATTTAAGTGATTAGTTCAGCTGCAATTTATCACTTTAATATTTTATTGTTTATGAAATAAGCTAAAATGTGATATTTGAAGTAATTTGCTTTTCAAGCCCTTTTAAACAATTTTTTAAATTTACATATTAGCTGGGTAATATGTTTCACAATTCTTTGAGGATTTTTAAGTTTTTTATTATAGTTTTTGCATATATCTGTTGGGATATGGACTTGCAAAGCATATCAAGAAAAGATGACATTAATTCAATATATATTTCAAATGCTGTTCTATTTTATAAATATTCGAATACAATAATCGAATAATTTAATGTTAAAGAAAAATTATTTCATGAGGTTAAAATTGGTGATATTCATCCTTTACATATCATCATAACATGGTTATTTGAAATTTAAAGTATTTAAACTGAGAACTTGACATTGAATCATTATAGATTGTTTTTTTTAGCTGATGCGGCTGGAAACACCGCGTCCAAATACTTTCCTAATTCGAGTGCTTCAGTGGACAACCGTCGTTGAAAGAATGTTTTGTGCAGAATCGGACGAAGTTCGTACTGCGTGGATGGATGCCATACAGGTTGAGATTTCAAAAGAAGCGAAGAAGATTCATTGAAGAACTGAAGAAATTTAGTTTAGTTCTCATATATTTTACTATTTTTAGGATGTATCAGATTCACTTAGAGAGGGTAGTGTGGATATGGAATCGCTAAGTCTCGGTGAATCCACTGGTAAAGAGCAAAAGAAGGTCTCATCTTCGGCTGGTCACCATATGAGGTTTGGCAGAGGTGAAGAAATGATGAGTATGGCAGATGCGGCGGCTGCTGCTCGGCGAGATAAAATTGTTGGTTTTATCAAGTGGAACATTGAATAGGGCTTTTGAGCTACCACTGGAAATGGCTTGGAAAAAAACGGAAAAAAAATAAGAGTAAAAGATGAGTTCCTCAAAAGTGCATTTTTCTTTAAAAAAAAAAAAGATTAAATAAGTGTCGTAGAATGGTGAAGGCCGGTACTTTATGCAGCTTTATTTTTTTGTAGTAATTGATAAAATGAAAATGAAATAAGTGGAGCATATTAATCTGAATCATTGGTTTTATGTTTTTAGACTCTGGAAGATTTCGAGTTTCTCAAAGTGTTAGGAAAAGGAACTTTCGGTAAAGTGCTTTTGAGTCGAGAACATCGAACGAGGCGGTTGTATGCTGTAAAAATATTGAAAAAGGAAGTTATTGTTCAAAAGGTAAAAATTGTTTTCTTCGTTAATAATCGTTAATTTCGAACATTAAGATTTTAGACTGGACATATGATATAGCAATGCGCTTTCGATAAATACGTTTTTTTGTGATATTTTTGATTTATTAATGCTTTTTAGGATGAAGTGGCTCATACTTTAACGGAAAACCGAGTTCTTCAACGATGTAAGCATCCTTTTTTGACGGTTAGCTTTTATTAACTTAGAAATTTACAAGGCTTTTTTTTCTATATGTTTGCTTTACTGCAGTCCCATTTTAACTTGCTTCCACCTTATTATTTATTTATAGTATTTTTTCTTTGCTGATAATTGTTTGCAGAACGATTGATTCGAAAGTATTAAATATTTCATAAGGAAATAGGCCTTTTAATGATAATATTTATGAAAAAACTTGATTATTAGCCATTTTTCGCACTCTTTATTATTTTTTCAAGTCGAATTTGTGATGTACTTTACTAAATATAAATTATAACCGTAATTAGCTGCTATGCTGAAAATTTGTCTTTTGAAAAAATGTGGTCAGTTAATTAGGTTCTCATTTAAAATATTTTTTTCGTTTGAAGAAAGTTTTGTACCTTCAGATTTTTATTCCTCATTTTTCCTATAATAAGTAGATATATCGATAATCAGTTAGAGAAACATATATGGAATGGTTTGATATGGTTTGAATGAATGGTTTTATCTAAAATCTATGAAAATCACTTCGTTTTATACATTTAATGGTAGGAACGTGAAACAAATAAAACAGATAACGTGAAATGGGTAACCGAAATTCTATTTCATTTGTCGGAATATCATATTTTATATATCAGATTTTTCTTATTCATCTTTTTAGCATAGGAAGATAGTTTAACTTATTTGCATATTCCAATTTATTTGTGCTATGGTTAATTATACAAATTACACAGATGTTTCTTTTTTTTTTTAGCAGTTGATGTACAGTTTTCAAACACCATTGTATCTATGTTTTGTCATGGAATTTGCGAATGGAGGTGAGATATTTTTTCACCTTCAACAGAATCGGATATTCAGCGAAGAGAGGTCGATGTTTTATGGTGCAGAAATTGTACTTGCATTGGGATATCTGCATGAAGAATGCATTGTATATAGAGACATGAAGGTTGGAATTATTTTTTAATTTGCTTCAGTTTTTTCAGGTATTTGTCGTCGATTTTTATATTATTTTTCTTTTTATCTCTTATTGAATAATGAATAATTTAAGTAATTTTTTCTCCTTACGATTGATTTTCTGGTTTTTGTGATATTATACTTTCTTTGATTCTTTGGGTAATTATGTTCAATAAAGAAATTTGGTTATATTTGCAATCGTTTATTTTGAATCTAGCATTCATATGGTGAAAACTGCTATTTCCTAATTTATTCAAAAGTTTTGCTTTCTTCATTCCTCTTGCAGATTAATCACTTTGTTGGAAAAGGTATTTTTGTAGAATATTAAGGTGAAAAATAATTTTCAAATTGTTAAATCGATGTTGTATCATTTTTTTTAAGGAGCATTCCGCTCACCAATTTAGACTGTTATCTTGTCGAGGTGATCGGGCAAATTTTGCTAAAGGCTTGCAGTAGAGATGGGTCGCCAGCACCATTTGAACTTTTGGAAGACATTTACTCTTGCCTGAACTAGAATTGCAGCACTGGCGTATAGAGATGGCCACCCACTCATGTGTTGGTTACCCACTCATTGTGTAATTTTTGTTGTTAATGTATAGTTTTATTACGCAATGATTATTTATTTGCTTTTCTGTTTTCACGATAGTAGATTTAACTTTAATTTTTTTTCTGTTTCTTTTCACTGCCGTAGAAAAAATTTTTTTAAATTTTCCTAATTCAGGCAGTATTTTGAAGACGGAAGTATTGCGGTAGATAGTTTTTTATTTACTTTGCTTTTTTCATTTTATTAGGTTTTTATTATTTTTCTTATTGTGAGTCGAATATTTCTCAGTTTTTTAGAAAGAAGGAATTTTAATGCTTGTGATATATATATATATATTCACTAAATCGAGGGATAACAAAAAGGTGAATACGATATTAAATCCCATAATTTGAATGAAATTCTCCTCAGTTCATCTTAAAAGTGTTTCTCAAATTTAATCGAAATTTTCGTATAATCTTTACGTTTATTATTAAATTGATTTGATACAATTTTCTAATTATGAAAATTTTCGAAGATATATTTTTTAAAAAACACCTTTTTTCCCTTATCTTATTAGACATAATGTCAATTAATAAAATAGGAAAAGACATTTTTATAAAATATTTTTTTATGTAATTAGCCCAAAAAGGATTTTATTGGACGAAAATCAAGGGAAAGTTTATCAGATCAGTTTTTTTAGAAATAAACAACAAACACCCAAAAAAATGAAGCTGTTTTTTCTCACATGTCGAAATTACTCGAAATTTTATTTGACTTCAGTTGGAAAATTTGTTACTGGACAAAGATGGACACATTAAAATTGCTGATTTTGGTTTGTGCAAAGAAGATATTTCTTATGGTGACAGGACCCGAACGTTTTGTGGTACACCTGAATATCTTGCGCCGGAGGCATGTTAATTTTGATTTCAATATTTTTTTATGGCTATTTTTTTCCCAATTTCTTTTAAGATTTATTTTTTTAGGTGTTAGAAGATAACGATTATGGACGTTCAGTAGATTGGTGGGGTGTTGGTGTTGTGATGTATGAAATGCTTTCCGGAAGATTGCCTTTTTATTCAAAAGATCATGAAAAATTGTTCGAATTGATACTTACTGGATCAATAAAGTTTCCATCAAAATTAAGTATTGAAGCACGTCATTTAGTGGGTTCTTTACTTGTGAAAAATCCGAATGAAAGGTTTGGTTTTTTCCTAATAATCATGAGTGTAGATATTTTTATTTTGAATTTTCAATCAGCGATTATTTTTGTAGACTTGGAGGGGGTCCAGATGATGCGAAGGATGTAATGGCTCATCCTTTTTTTGCTTCTGTTGATTGGGAAAAACTTTATCGTAAAGAAATACCTCCACCATTTAAGCCAGATGTGACATCTGATACGGATACAAGTTATTTCGATAAGGTTTTTTTTCTGATATTCCGATTTTTGACAGTTTTCGCCTTACTTTATTTCTCTTTAAACTCTCTTTCTGATTGTTGAATCTTGAATTCTGCCGTAATGGTTAAAATTAAAATTTTAAATTACGTTAATTTTGGATTGTTGTTAAAACATTTCCATTTTATTCTACTGCAAAATTTTGCAGGAATTCACAGATGCACCGGTAGTTTTAACACCACCTCCATCTCGAGCTGGTCCATTGGATACAGTTTCTGAATACGAAGAGATTGAAAGCAATTTTATACATTTTTATCGAAGTGCGTCAATATCATCTGCTCTTCGTGATATAAATTCAGATGAAGGAATGGAACATTTCACTGAAGTGGATGTACAGGATGCGGATATGCGTGAGGCTTAATTTATTATTGTATTTCAGAGATGTATTTATTGTAATTACTTATTTTCAGTTGTTTTAACGGGTATGAGCAGACGCTCAACTGTTTTCTAAATTTGATAGTACATGACAGTGCTATTTTAAAGATGTGGAAATTCTTTGCCTAATGAAAAAATTTAATTTTTTATTTAATGTTTTTGTACAGATATTGTCGAGCCATTTTTACTTTTTAATGGGTAGATTGGTATCTTTATTGCTTTCGTTTCGATAATCGTTTGTATCTATGTTTTTATTTATTTTTTTTATTTTGGTAGTATTAAAAGTTTATGCCATGCCAAAGAATTAAAAAATGAGAATACCGCAGTCTTAAAAGTTGCTAAGTTTATTTCATTATTCATTTTTAGAGTGCTTCTTTAGCAATTTTTTGCATCTCCTTCAGGCAATTTTCGTATATTTCCTTTTAGCACTTTTCTTGTAAATATTCAAAATTCAAAATTGTGTGGTTGGTTGCATTAGAGTCGTTTAATTTCACATTCCTTTGCTAACCTTTTTTTCCGCTTATTTTCGAAATTCCATAGTTCGACTTAGAAAATTATTGATTTGCAGGTATAGTATTTATTTCATTTCACTTTCTTTCTAAACAGCTATGGTCTCTTTTTACTTTGCCAATTTATTATTTTCTTGTCCTTGTTTGTGAGATTTTTGCATATTTTTGACAGTTTTATGTACTTTTTATCTTCACCTCTGTTCTTACAAAGTCTTAATTTTGTGGCTTTGAAAATGATATGGGATCGATTTATAACCACATTTACTGGTGAAAATGGTGATATGGTACAAATTTGTTGATGCTTTAGCTTTCTTATTGCTTTAGCTTTTGCGAGTGTTCTGATTTATATTTCTTGCTATTCTTAATATAAAATTTCCTAATTTATAAAAAGCTAATTCAAAAGTACCTTTAATTCGGCACACATTGTTCAGCATCAAAGTTGTTATCTCTGTCATTCATTTACAATAAACCGTTAATATTTAACATCTGTGGGTACTCCCTTACTCCCTTTTCATCAAAACGTTATTAGAAATAGATTAAATTATTAAAAATAGGTTGAATTAAATGGATATTACTTCTAAATAGATGGATATTGAAATGTAGTGAAATCCACCAGTTTTCTTACTGGCTATAATTTTAAAAAATTCGGTGAAAAATAATTTTATCGACGAATTATTTGTTGCTCATTTGAGCATTTTCGCATTTTATTTATTTACCATGTTTCCGACATGCGGCAGTGGATTTATGAAAACATCAAATCACTGTAATGTCAACAAAAAAAAATTAATCCTAATCATCCATTGCTGTAGGTACAAAATCTGTTTCATAATAATTATAGAAATTTTATGAAACGTTTAAATTACCGCAATAGATTTACAGAACTCATTTATTATGCTGCGTAGCATTATTTGATAAAACAGTAAATTTGTAAATTTTTAAATCATGAGCATCTTTCTGTTCTGATAGCTCACGGTTAGGCTGCCACAAGCCTGAGGCGTTTCCAAATTTGTCGATTTTGGCGCCATATCTGAAATAAAAGCGCTCCTTTTTCCATTGTTTTAGGATATATAATGTCGTTGTGCCGCCTGTGCGTTCAAAAAGTCTTCTACTAGTTGGCGAAAGTAGTCTTACGTCAGCAATAATTTGTTCACCGAGCAATTGCTTTCTCAGTATTTCACCATGTTGCTCTCTAGAATATCTATGTAAGTCGAAAGTGGTTCCTTCAGCATCGAATTATTTCAGTTATTTTTTATTAAAAATAATAGTATATGACCCATATGAGTCAGAGATTATTGTGTCAGATTAATGAAAATCTGGAAGGAGGAGACAAAATGACGAAAGAACACAGGGATCATATAAAATTCAAAAATGTTTTAAATCCTACGCAATATCAAGCAGATGTTTTCGAATCCAATTAGAGAAACTTGTGGCAATTAGATTTTGTATGTGGATTTTGTCATAATGCTCATCAGTAGCACTATAAAGATGTTTTAATTAAAAAGTGTGACTGTTTCGGCAATTCCTTCACAAGAACAAGCTGTTGATAAGCCGTCATCAGTGAAGAAAGAAATTTTGATGAAAATCTCATTCAAAATTTTTAGATAAATTTTTAGATAAACTTTGTTAAAACAATTATCAGATGATATAAATAACTATAATATATGAAACTTCTAACATAATGGTGATTACGGCTTAAATTTTCTGGTTTATAATAAAATATTCTGGATCAATTTTCAAAGTAATAAACATTTACAATCGAAGAAAAAAACAGTTTCGCAAATATTTTATATATTATTGAAGCAATAAAAAAATAACTTCGAAGATGATGGGAATGTTCATTTGAAGTTCTGAACTAACATTTCAAGATTTATAGGATAATAATTCACCTAATAAATCCAATTTAAAAAGGCTTATGGAACTGAATTTATGCAATTTATGCAATTAAGCAAAATAATGTATGAAGCATTGCAAAAATTTAGAAAATTTCAGATGGGACTTAATAAGATGGCGCTGAAAAGAACGGAATCATATCATACAAAAGATAATAAATATTTGCTGGATAATGTTACAATAATCACTATCAATTGGAGATCACAGAAGGATCACAATAAGATTTCATCGGTTGTAAGCACTGATTCTCAGTTATACCAAGATATATCCAACTCATTTATAGGTATGCGAACAATAAAAAGCAATGAGGGCGCAAGATGACGAGCAGCTCTTTTTAACCATGAATTTGGTTTGAATTAGTAAAACCCTATCTGAACTTGCTTTCTGTAAGATGTTTAAGTTGTGCGAAAAAGAGAGAACTGAAAATTTATGCAAGAAATCGAGAATCCTAATTGAAGAGGACTGTTGGATGAAAATAACTATCACTAATTGTTCTTTTACTTTAATTTCACTTTGGCTACAGTCTGTATATACACTTTCCCATTACTTTTGAATTGCTAGAAAAATTGAGTGTTTTCTTAATTGAATGTTCTATTAATGATATTTATCAGACAACTAGAAAATGATTAACTAACATTAGACTACAACAATGATAAAGTATTAATAGCTTGTTCGATATGAAAGCGGTAAAAACAAAATCATTTGCAGTCGACAAGTTTAAAGCATTACAAAAAACTGGCATGATAAAAATGTAGACGCACTTGTGATGCGAATCATTTGTTCAAAAGACTGGTAGATTTCAATTTGCCATCGAAGAGTGAAAAACTTCTGAAATATTTGGATTGCAAAAATTTCCCACTTAAAACTGGTAAAAAAAGGCTTCCATAAAAATACGATCTTACCATTATCAACGTGACGAGAAAATAATAATTTGTGCATCAACGATAACCATGATATGCCCCCTGTAGAATTTACCGTAACATATTAATATCATAATTAAGAAGTATGACGGACAATTGCCAGATCAACCATATCAATAAGATGGTTATCCTATATGCTAATCATTAAAACCTTAAATCATCGCTCCTGATGAGGTTTTGCCCTGTTTTTCCACAAGAAACATGTGAGAGACCACGGATTTCAATTAATGAGAAATTTCTGAGAATACTGTAGAAAATTCTAGGAATCATAGAATAGCAGAAAAACATCCCACTAAATTTTTATGAATTTTAAAATATCCATTTGGCAAATATCACTTTTCTTTTCCAAAGAAAGTATAGAAACTACATATAACGATCATAATTTTTTTGACGATGCATTTCGTTCAAATTGGTGGATATTAAATTAAAATATGAATTAAATTCAATTAACTGTTGTTTTCGTTAAAAAATTCTTATTAGATTCTAAGATAACATAAAATTATCTATTGTACATTAGAAACTGAAGAAATGACTGAAGAAATTTTTCGAAAATACAACTGGAATTCACAAGTGACTGCTTATGCACCATATTTGAAACAATGCAAGAATTTTCTGTTAATCTGTGGAAATATTTCAAATATCGTATTGCTCAAAACATTCGAACTGTTTTGCCTCATTCCCGAGCTATTAAATAAGAATAATTTGGCAGATTTGGCAGTACTATTATTTTAAAAAACCAACATATTTATGCTACGATGCTCGAATTGAGTAATTTATTTTCAGTGATCAGATAAATCCAATTAGGGGAAAGCAATGAACAACTAATACACTAAAAACGAGCACCTATATATACAGAAAAGAAAAAAACTTTTTGAGGAATTCTCTGGATGAATTAAAATTATAGACTAGCATTTTGACGATTACAACAGAAAAAACTTTGGACCACTTAAAGATTTTCAAATGATAAGAGAGAGATTTGATACGAGAGGTAAATGAAGCAAGCATAAATAAGCGTAAAAAAATTGGTCAAAAAATTTTCAGAAACGTTTATCAAAGAGGCGACTAGAATCTGGACAAGGCACATTATTAGCAATGTTTAACAGTGCGCATAATCCCTACGAGAAAGGCAACGACATAAGATATGACTGCTTCAAGGACTGTTCTCTACGAATCTCTACGAATTTATATCGAAAAAGATTTAGGCGAGAATTTGATTTGAGTTAATGAAATACAAATCGAATAGTCCTGGTTATCATAAGATTATTATGATAAGTTGATTGATAAAATTTGTAGAAAAAAGAAAGCATAATAGTGTGAAATTTGAGGAACAAACCTTATTTTGTAATAAGTTTATTAGCTCGTTTATTTGCCGACTCGACCCGAACTTCATTAGATTGAGTCTGAAGCAAATATACTTGGAAAATGGTAATAAGATTATTGATAAACTAATTTTTTTTTTAAATTGATTTATTCAAGAATTTAAAATATTATGAACGCGAACTATAAACTAGACTAAAGAAATTAATGAACGAAATTAAAATGCTTAGGCTGCATGAATATATGGAACTTATAATATATGGAACTTAGGGTAAAAGGTCAATTAAAAAAGGTCAATTTTAATGGATTTCGATAGAATCCCAGAAAATACAGCTCCTCTAGGAAGTTTACTACACACATTTACCACTATATTGCGGAATAAAAACTAAAAACCAAGCTAAATTGCCAACATCTGCTGCACATGCGATGGCTGTTTTTAAAAAGCTCAGTAATTATAACATTGACAGGATCGATACCATATGGAATCGTATAAGTCATAAGAAATCAGTAAGTCAAAGGTTATTCTCCTATTGCTTAGCTTCCACCTCGGTTGTCTTCAATCTTCCACAATAAGGCAGGTCCTAAATTTTCTATTAGAAATTCTCGGATTATTGAAATAAAAAAAGAGCAAACCTTTTCATGAATACGATCAAGCTGTCGGTTTTGATTGCTAACTTCTGTACTCATATCAATTGCCATATTGCGTAAATTACCGACCATTGTTGATACTTGTTGAATATTTTCGTCCATTTCATCTTCTCGTGCATCATTTGTGATTCTTAAATTAAAATAATTCTCCAGTTCAATATTAATCTAACTGAGCGCTTCAATCAAAACATTGTTCAGAAAGCTTGAAAAGTTCGATTAAGCAATTAATAGCAATAAGAAATGAGAGGCTATTTTTTCGATTTTTTAAATATATTTGAACAAATATTGCCGATTGTTTTAGATTTTCTTATTCCTTTTTATCGCTTATAAACTGCTCTATGACCATTAAAAGCTTATATAAGAAATACCGTGTTATATAACCTCCTTGAGGGCCCATTCCAGAATCACCCACTGTAATTCTAGGTTGATCACTAATCACACCGCCATCATCATCTTTCTTCCACGCTTTAGCATATTCAGCATTTTTTTCAAAATCGTCAGTTCTCAAAATTAAAGAAATTTAGTTTATAAATTCTGTCACGAAATAATCAGAAAAAGGCTATTTGTAAACATATCCACAATTAAAACAAAAAATGTCGTTTTTCATTAATGGTATGATAAAAGTTGGCGTGAATTGGCATACTATAATATAAAAACCACAGTTAAAAGGTAGATAAAACCTTTTACTTACCATCACGGCTTTCTTACTTTTCATATGAGAAAAATTTAAGTTGTACATTCTAAGCTTAAAACCAAGTCTTTAAAAACGATAACTACTTCATGGAATTACAATGAGACGCTTCTTGTTAAACGAAATAGCAACTGAAATGCGAATTACTTGAAACAAGGAAGCACGCATAATCCACAACATTTTTCCATCCCTTTAAGATGTTCTTCAGCTTCGCGCATATCTTGATTTATTGTATCAAGACCGCCTTCAACTCGTTCTAATTGTTCTGAAAACTTGCTTTGAAATGATAGACTCGAAATTCAACGTATAATTCTCGTAATAAATTTCATATTATTACCTCACAAGATAAAAATTCATGCAAATAATCATCAAACAATTCTGGAAAATAAAATCTGATAGCTTTTTTAAAGCTTTTCGTCGGAGCCTTAAGCGTTATTCGCTTAGTGGCAAAATAAATCTATCAAGAATCGGGAATGGCTTTCGTTCGAAACCGGCCGACATATCACGCTTTCCTTAAGAACGCTGATATTGAGACTCTACACCCGATAGGAGTAAAACTACCCTTCAAAAATCCAAGTGATACTGACGACTCACTTGTATTTCTATAGTCAAGTGATTCCCTTGCAAAATTCATCTGGTCCGACAAGCAGTGGTAAGCGTCCTTAGAAAAAAAAAGGTATTAAACGAATATTTAATGTACCTCCTTGATCATCCAACATAACAAGAGTTTTGATTCCTGCTTCTTTGCTCTGTAAATGTTAAAGAATTCGATAAAAACATTAAATTAGAACTGAAGTAAATAATACTTTATTTTTGATCTAATTAACTTCTATCATAAACTTTGAAAGAAACTGAGATGAAAAAATTTCATTTAAGATGCTTAGTGCCATCTAACAATTTTGCTCCAAGGAAGTTAACAGCTTAATTTCTGCTCTCTTCTGTTCTATAGCTCTCAAATCAAGTGGAAAGATAATGTAGAGAATTGGGTCATCGTAAATAAAACGAATCAAATGATTGCTCGCCGTGAAAGCCTTACCAATTTAAGCTAATTCAAAGGTTTTCAAAGGTAGACTACGAGCAAAAAAAGAATGAAAAACTGGAAAAATTTGCATCTAAATTAAAAATAAACAAAAAGACCACAAATAGCCAAACTGCATAAGAAGCCTGGAAATTTGTGATTCATCAAAGATGAATAGCACAAATATTTTAAAAATTGATAATCACCTCTTCACAAAGTTGCATCATCCGTCTTGTAGCTTCTAGAGACTGAAAAAATTCATTAATATTTCATAAATTCAAGAAGAAATGAGTTATCAAGTTTAATTGCTCATTAATCCTTCTTTCTTTTAAATTACTTGGTACATGGCAACTTTTGCATTTTCGATGTTAAGGAAAAGATAAAAATTTTGACTCGATGCCGAACTTTAAGCTCGAAACAGCTTGTAAAATATGATATCATACGATTTAACTTTTTCCTTCAGGTTAAGTATCTTAACTTTAATCTTCACCACGAGTTTCGTGTTTATTTTTCATTATATATCTAATTGAAAATTACATCACTGGTAGAACTTTCAATTTGGACATTGAGAGTTTTTAGTTCATCGGACATGTCCGCAGGTAAGATGAGACCATTACATTGCACAGATCCATCATCTTTGTCATCGAATTTCGCTTTCGATTGTTTTGTCATGCTAACAATTTTTTAATCGATTTGTAGAATTTGATGTATGAACTGATGATAAGAAGAAATCTCTCCGTTAAATAATTAATGGTTATCATCTGATCGAATTTCACAAATCTATTCAAACACACAGTACAGTGCCATGAACGGGCATTTCCCTTAGCATTATTTCATATTATTCATTTAATATCTATATTTTGGAAGCAAAACTTTAGAGAAAATTCGAAATATGTGAAACGATTTGGCAGTGATAAACATAATATGCAAGATGAATAAAGTCAATTACATAAGAAATAAAAAGGAGAGTCTAATTTTAAACTAATAACGGAGAATTAAGAAATCCATAATTGGAGCGGTACATGGCAGTATAGCTTAAAGTAACAAAGAGGAAGAAACGAAGGCGTTAGATGAGAGTGTTCACTTCATTTATAACAAATTTTAATATCTTTTAATTAGTAAAAACATAAATGATAGTAAAAACATAAATGATTTCAGAATTGGCCATTATCATAATGCAAAATTTTAAATTTTAATTAAATAATAGAACTAAATAAGAATTCAACTGAATCCCAATACCCAAAAGACCAATTGTCTATAACCTTCTGCAGCAGTTATGGTCTGAAAATTCTCTGGGAAAAAATATAAACTCGATGTAGAACAAAATATCCATGAATGGCATGTAAAATTCTGATGTAATAATGATAGATAATAAACAATAAACCTCAAACATGAAAAAAAAATAAACTAAAAATCAAATCTATTGGAAAGAATGAATATTGTAGGATCCTTCTGGCAATGGATTAAGCAAGAATAGGCTGGTTATGATGCTATTCCGCTAAAAAGTAATTTCAAAAACTGTCGCAATGCACGATATCAACACTTTTTCTTTTTTGACGATATTTAAATAATTCTGACAATATTCAAATTGAAAACTTTTGGTCAATTTAAGCAGTTCAATATATCACCTATTAATTAGATAATTAATAGCTAATAACTATATCATATTTAACTGAAAATATTTTTTTAAATTTTATTGAAAGCACAAACTTACTATTCAAATTTAAACTTATAAAAAATTTAAATAAACCAAGCTGAGACCAATTACTGATACAAAATCCGTAGATTAAAACCATTAAGACCAAATTTTGGCAAATAAAGAATTTATATTCTTCTTGAGATAGATTTTTTTCAGTGTTTCCTGATTACAAATTCTCTCTTAGGAAATCGTAGCTAGAATTTTTATAAATAGCACTGCAAATAGAGAAAATTTTTCCTAACTGCTGAATTCTCACCGATCTGCATATTTGCACATATAAATAGGCAATTAGATCTTTTTCTGTAGAAATAAAATTATTTAAAAGAATAAAGAGAATGTAGGCCCTTTTTTCGATTTATGTTAGTGGACTTAAAATAGTGCCACGATAGAAAAAATATCATTAACAATAAATTGGTGCCCATAACAACCAAATGAAAGGTGAGATAAAAGAAAAATCGAAAAAAAGGTGGGAAAAATCAAGGAAATTTAAAAAAATTTTTCAGCGGTCGACTGTTTTTCAGCTGAACTAATTTCTTCAAACATACGATTTTTTCAAATGATTTTGCAGCGATAAAGAAGCAAAGGCCATGATAACCTTCTTGACCATTCAACACTATTCCACATTAAGCCTATTCATGCAATTCCTAAATAAATAAGGTCGACAACTCTTATTAAGAATTAATTGTTTGTCAAACTGGTTATCCGTGATTATTTAGTGAATTCAGTGCGCATTAAATTCTAATTACTGATATTCAGAATATTTTTTTAGTACTTTCCACTGATTCCCATAACTTTTTTTAGAAACAAGTAAAATAATATTAAACGCGTTTTAAAACCATCATTTATTTCCTAATTTCCTAATTTATTTTTTTATTATCCTAAATTTTAAAAAATTCATTTTCAAATTTATGTTCATCGCAAATCGTAGAAATCTTATGATTATACAAAGAAAGGTTCATGGAGACGCCTTATGAATAACCATCTAATATATTCTCTTTTATTACTATTTTTACGATATCTCTTTTTGATAGGATACCCGATTTGTGAGGTAAGCGTGTGAAGTATAAATAAATAAAATTTAAAATTATTAAATAAATAAAATAAAATTAAATAAAATTATAAATATAATTATTATAGTATAAATATAAAATATAAATATAAAATTTAACATCATTAATTTTAAGCTTATATCAGATTAAATACAGCTAAGATGATAGGAAGTAAGTAATCTTGAAACGTTTCCCGTGTAAGAGTGGAGAATCTCAGCAATTTTTTGAACGTCCGTCGTTAAGAAATTAATACTCAAATTCTTACGCCTATTACTCGATAAGTTGTTTTATCAACACTATTTGCTAGTCATACCGATAATTGAACTTGAATGAAAGATAGACTTTTATATTACTTGACAAATAAGCAATAATAAACATTTATAATAAACAAGAACAAAAACAATAACGAAGTGTTATGACGACGATTTTGGTTTTATGAAAGAAACCTGAATGAAGTTAAGGGAATTTTCTAATCCTTTCACTGATCTAAATTAGTATCTCTATTCTATATGAATATCAGATCACGAAATAAATCATCAAATCAGTTAGTTTTATTTCATTACATGAAAGGAAGAGAAAAGCACTGCCTGATTGAAAAAAGTAGTAAATTTGTCTGAATTGCTCAAAAAATTAAATTCTCTTCCAACTTTTTTTCATTTACAAGCCTTTTTTCATTCTGCGATAAACATAATATAATTATTTCATAGAAATATTTGGAAATGGAAAATTAAGGTGATAAAATCCTGAAAATGCTAGAACCACTCTTTAAACAAAGAGAAGTGTCATATAATCAGTTATCAGTTATATACTGGATGCAAGGGGCGAACATCTATGAAAATACCATTGTTAATAGCTTCTAGAAAATACGATATTAGTTTTTCCAGCTCGCAAGGTCACACTTATGTTCAGTAAAAAGGAAAATTGAGAATGCCAAAATAAGCGCCCTAAACCTTCTATATCCGGCTTTATTTCTTTCAATAACATTGGTTTTGACTCAAATCAATTCAAACTCGATATGGCATTTGAAGGTACTAATGAGAAAAACCAAGTTTTTTGGAAGTTTTTTGCCACACTTTTCTTTAAGTTTAACGCACAAAATTTAATTTTTCATTCTTTAATAACTTACAATTTTGATGCTTAAATTTTTTTAAGAGCACTAATTATTACTGGTCAGACTCGCTTCGCTGGCTTTTTGCACTAGACAAATATGCTAGGGAGTCCGTTGGCGATAGAAGCACAAGTGAGTTGTTAACATTACCCGGATTTTAGAACAGGTTTACTCACACCGGGAACATCGAACCTCAGCATCATCGCCCCGAATTGAGTAACAACCCACTGAGTCATTCTGCTCCCTTTTGGTTTTCGTTTTCCCGTTAGGCGATACTGCCGCCCGACGAAAAATGCTGCGCCGTAGTATTCGAACCCAAGCCTCGGTCATCGATGGCAATTGCCATTGAGCTACCAAATCACCTATGATGCTCGAATAAGTCTGTAAAAATATAAAAGGAATATCAGCAGTTTATTCTTGCCTATTTCCTTATTTTTTCTGGATATTAAGTTTATTTTTGTACGACAAATAGGATCTAATTTTTGGGACTACGAATTTAAAAAGGTTTTACTCATTTAGCATCAAAGGTTGAAATATGTTGAGCTTGGTGTTTGGTGCAAAGTATTAAAAAAATAAAGGTATATAAGAATTGAAGAAGTAAAAAAAATTGTTCAGAAGCATGACCAAAGAAAATTTTACGATTTTCATCCATTCTATTGAAAATTACTTATATTGATTTGTTGTCCAAAAATAAAAATGAAAATAGAGTGATGGATTTTTAATCATTTTCCATAAAATAATGAAAATGAGGGAAGTGAATAACACAAGAACAATAAATTACTTAAATATTACGTTATACAATATATTTTAAAAAAAAATCCTTCCATCACTCCAACCACGGTAGATGGTACATGTCATTCTCAATTTCGGGTTGTCTATCAGGATTTTTACTTGAAGATTTTTTGCAATATCTTAGCTGTTCCTAGCAGAACGCTCTTCTGGAAAGAGATCTCAGAAGTCATTCCTGGGATATGTTGAAGTCAATTTTAAGAGTTACAATCCCCTACTACTCTCGTTGTCAGTGGGATTATGATGTTCCTTTCACTTGATATTGCCATATCCATTAACTTTCTAGTTTTTCTCTACTACCACGATATGTGGTTAATTAGCCATTACTTGTCCTTTTGTCTGGATTCGCAAGAAATTTCTATGGGATCTTAGACTTTATTCTTTATCTTCATCTTCATCCGATTTTCTGGGTCTTCCATCCAGTCTGGGGAGAGAGTCTACGCCATATAGTGAGCAGATAAGCCATATACTGTAGGCAATGTCAGCTACTTGGTTATACCTTCCATTGTATGTTGTTCCTGCTTGTACTTTTCATCCTATTCCTATCACTGTGTGTTCGACTGCTTCTGGAGCTCATTTTTACATATTTGCAGCTTGAGTCTTGCTTAATGGTAGTATCTGCTCTTGTCCTGCTACGATCAATGCCTCTTAGAGGATTTCTCTATATTTTCTATATCAGTGCTATCTGTCGATGGTGCAATCCATGAAGGATTTTGCTTTGACGTGGTACTTCTCAGCTTGACCTTTTTCCAATGTTTATATGCTTAAGACATTCTATCAACAGCTCATCCTTTGGTGCCATTTCGCCGGTGTATTCCAGAATAATGGCTTTCATACTCACTAAGCATATTCCATCTTCTTTCCTACTAAAATACAAACTTCGGTTGTTAAACTTGGAGTGAAAAGAAAGAATTGTGCAATTGATTAGTGGTGCACTGAGCCGGTCGATTCGTCCAAATGTGCTACTGAGATATAGAAATTATTATTAGTGGATATTGATTGATTATCGATTTTTACATCGTTTGGGCATTTTAAACGATGTTTTTTCTTAAAATTGGTTTTTTTTAATTTTTTAATTTTTAAAATTTTTCTCACCTTATGCAGTTCTGCATAAAAAACATAATATTGTGCTAGTCTTCGACAGAAGTAAACCTTTCATGTCAAAAATCCGGGTGGCTGGAGACCCACTTGTAACTCTATACCCAAGTGACTCTATAGTGAAAGAATTAGATATTCTTGATACGGCGCGCAGCTCGGTAGTACACGATAAGTATAATCCGCGCGTAAAAAGATCCAAAGGTTTATAAAACAAGCCAGGACAATTGTTCGAAACCTATCAAGAGGAACTGCTTTTTGCAGACAGCGCACTTCAAAGTGAATTATTGAAGTATAATTATTAATGAATTTTCTGAAACGGCAAATAAATACTGGTCCAAACTAAAGGAATGTCTTCGAAAGTCAACCGTGTTCAGGATTGCCTCATAAGATGGAAGGAATTCTTTATGGCCAAACCATGACACGCCATCTGATCTGAATATAGCTGATATGATTGTCGAACCTTCCGTTTGCAATTGCGAATCGCCTACAGAAAGAAGAAATTATCTCTGTTATCCATAAGCTTAAAGCCAATAAGACTCCGGGAGAAGGTGGTCTTCGGGCTGAATTCTTCAAATATTGCCCATCGTCCTTCACAATGCACCTTCAACAAATGCACTTTCTGGTATGAAGAAAGAAATATTACATGATGACAGGAGCAAAGCAATTGTGCTCCCAATTTCCAAGAAAGATGACAGGACATACTGCGACAATTATCGAGGAATCAGCTCACTAGATATCTTAGTGAAAATTTTTGCCTCCCTTTCAACAGACTTACGGGACAACAGGATGTGCCCTAATCAAGCTGGATTCAGGCCGAGGAGCTGTTGTGCTGACCAGTTATTAATGTTAAAAGGGTATTGGAACATCGCTTCAAATATCTGCAATCCACTGTAACTCATCGTCTTTGCGGCTGCCTTCGATTTAATTGATAGAACAGCACTTTGGAGAAAGATGGAACGCGACGGTGTTGCAGAGAAAGTCATTTAATTAGAGGCATTTTATCAGCATACGTTGGCGCAGGTCTGTGTATATGAGGAATTGACAAACCCTTTCGAAATAAGAACTGTTCGTCAGGGCTGCGTCCTTTCCCTACAGTATTCAACTATGCGATAGACTGGATAATAGACCGCACTTAAGAGGTATCCAAATCATATCAGACCTTATTAAATATGCTGATGTAGTCCTTTTTGCTGATAGTTATGACGAATGACGAAATGCAAACAATGCTAAACAAAGTTTGCGACAACTGCAGCGAGAATCGAATTCAGGACCATAATAAATAAAACGAAAGACTTTTCGTCTTATACAAGAAGTTGATAAAATGCACATTGCAGTTTGAGAAAGTGCCCGATTTTAAATATCTTGGATCCATTCTAATACTGAATGGCCAAGCAAAAGACGAAATTACAACCTGGATAACGGGAAAAGCGTTCTTCTGGTTGACGAAATTACCATAAAAACGAAAGACCGCATCTATATAGTCGCGATTCGTTCAATCTTGCTATATGGCCAATGAGAATGGAGGATATTAAGAAAATATCAGCCTTTGACCACTGATCTCTAAGGTACATTTTACGGGTTCGCCGACTGGATAAAATCTCATATGATCGCATCCACCTTCGTTCAAATACAAATTGCATTAACAGTACCATCAATGATATTTTTAGAAATGTCGCTGGTTATAGATCGCTCTTCGTCACCCACCACAAGAGTCGACATATATTTCGTTACTTGCTGAACCATGTGATGGATGGCGTCAAAAGGGAGGAGGGTCAATCAAAACCTGGACTGATACAGTCAGGAAAGATTTTGAACGTATAGGTGGATCAGCGATATATGGGCTTAGACGATGGAAAAAAGAATGGCTTCTATTTACTGTCAGCGATGACATCAGATATAGCAACCTGTAAAGATCTTACCCTTCTGGCCAGTGGAGCCAGCCTAACCAGTAATGAGAGATATTAGAAGAAGAAGAAGACTTGAAGAGGAAATTTCCGTTCATTATGAAAAATTTCTGGACCTTCTTGTCTGCAGTCTATTCTTCCTCTTCTAACTCTTACCATTACTGGTTGTACTGGCTCTGTTGGCTACAACGGTAAGAATTCTCCAAGCTTCTCGGTTCCACGCCATCGCTAGTAGTAATAGAAGTCATTCCTTTCCATCATCTAAGTCCATATATCGTTGGTCCCCCTATAGTTATGGTTCAAAATCGTTCCTGATTGTGTTAGTCCTTTCTTGACTGGCCCTCCTCGTTTTGACGCCAACCATCATAGAGTTTAGCACGTAACGAAATATGCGTCAACTCCTGTTGTGAAAGTGTCCTAATCAGCAAAGGCGACACTCTGCGATATCATTATTAATACAGGTGATATTTGAGCGAAGATGGATATAATCATGTGCGATTTTATCCGCTCGATGGTCAAATTTATCATAGGCACAAGTGGTCAAAGGCTGAGAGCTTCTTAAGATCTTCCACTCTCACTGGCCATGTTTCGCAGTCCCCAACCTATTAAAAAAGTCTCTTAGAATGACTCCAGTGAGTGGTAATGGTCATCCTCTACCACAGCCTTGAGAGATTGAGGGTTCTTTACAGTATTTTGGCAGTTTCTATTAGTGGGATCTAATAGAATGTGTATATAATTGATACAAAGAAATTGCACTTTTGTAAATCATATTTTGATCTGGTCGACAATAGGAGTACGCCACAACCATTATAATTCTCGAAATGCTGGAATATAAAAGCAAGAAGAATAATGCAATTGGCCCATGAAAAAAGGAGGACGGAAAATGAGATCAGGGGAGCTAAACCTCATCAGAAGTCCTCGAAATCGCTAAAAAAAATGCTCATGCCACTCGCTACTAGGTTAAGGAGATACACTAGAAAAGCAAAAGCTAAAATATGGTAACAACAGAGCTAACAGCAGAAACTAAAAAACTATATAATACTGGAAAAATACATAGGAGAAAAAGTTCATGACACCAGTGCGAAGTTATTGCAGGACCTGAGCACAAACGGATTTTTGATATGACAGGTTCACTTCTGTTGAAGATAAGCATAATATTATATTATTTTATAATGTTATTTATGTATAATTGCATAAGGTGAGAAAAATTTTTAAAAATTAGAAAATTAAAAAAAACCAATTTTAGGAAAAAAACTTATCGTTTAAGATGCCCAAACAGTGTAATCGATAATTAATCAATAACATTCAATAATAATAATTTTTTTCTATATCTCCGTAGAGTACCTGGACTAACCGACCGCTCACTAATTACACTAATTGTGCCTCAACTCACCAGGACATATAGCGGATATATAGGCTATTTACATATGCCTTGGTATTCCATAGTCACATAGTAACCACGATGAGGAGGCAGGAAAGAAAGAGACATAATACCTAAGTATCACTAAAGGACAATATAAATCTTGAAAAGCAGGCTCAAAAGGAAGAAAGAAATCCATGTCCTCCATGGGGTGTGCCATAGACAGATAACTGAGGTGGCTTACACTGGAAAATCCTACCAATGATTGGAGAAATCTGGACTAAAGCAACTGAGGTATTGTTGAAATAGGGACAGTAGATAGGATTCAGTAGATAAGTAGGGACAGTAGATAAGAAAATGCCCCAGAAACAGCCATAGTGACAAGATGTAAAATTAAAGCAATATACACTAAAAGGCATAACTAAGTGGCTGACGTCATGTGCAGGATGTTCGGTATATCTTAGATCCTCCCAAGATTAAATGGGAGATTCCGTAGAAAACCATAGAGAATAATAAAACGAAGATCTCCATGTGGAACTTCTCCTTCAGACAAATAAGTACGGGCAAATCAACCAAAATTGTGGAATAGCCAAAAAAAATTAGCACTAGTGATAGATACACCACTACCAAGTGACAAAAACATCAGGAAGAAGGAATATGAGAAGTTAAAGAAATGGAGTGAAAGAAGAACTAGAAAGATGTGGAATGTAAAGGCCAAATATAAAATATAATTCCAGTGGCAATTGGAGCACCTGTAACTGTGACTTTTAAACTAGAAAAGTGGCTTCAGTAGGCTCCAGGAGCAAGACAAGAGATCTCTATCCAGAAGAACGCACTAGAAACAGCTAAAACGCTCTGCAAAATCCTCAACCTTCCAGGCCCTTGTCAGAGGGCCCGAAATTGAGGTCTTTACGATCCGCAGAGGATGAGAAAAGAGCGGACAATAATTTATAATATATAATTCGAAAATCGTGTGAAATTTGGCGATCAAAAATTTTTAGGGAAGATATAATTAGCTAGTAACAGTAATTATGTAGAAATAAAAGAAAATATAAAAAAAGGAATTAATAGTTAATGGAAATTTGTTTATGAACCATTATTAATGTTATCGATTAGAACTATTCTCATGAAATTCATGAATTATGGACCCATTAATTCATTCATAATTACTATTGTGAATTTGAGTTTTTTTGTTTTTACTAAACGTATATAATATAAAAGATTACTAAAGTTAAAGGTTTGGATATTTAATATAGTAATTAGCTTTGAGTAAATTTTGTCAAGATCAATCAAAAATATGATTAAGAAATATTTTACAGATATATTTTAACATTTTTGAAAAATTAAGTTGGAAATTAAGTTATTATGAATTTGAAAATTTATTTGGAATAGTTTCTGCAAAGCAGATAGAATTATATGGTTTTTGAGCAGTTAAGCTTCACCATAGAACAAAGAGAATTCATTTGGAAGATTCTTTGAGCAGACGTTTCTCAAATTTGAACAAAAACGACATAGTAATAAATAATAAACAGTAATAATGAACAATACTGTTAGGAAAAGAGGCGATTGAAAAATTAAAAGACTTTAATCGATCTCGGAAAATTACGCCAAATGTGCCGCTTTCGTAAATCCCCCGCACGCAATCCCACGTAACAAAATTTTAGCTCTGAAGACTGTTTATATTATCCTCTTGTTGCTGCTGAATAAAAATTTGCCTTCGTGTCAACCATAAATTTTCTCTTCTAGCCTTCGAAATTATGATTATCTTTAAAAATAACCTCATCTGTTGTTGCATTCATTTTTAGATTGATCTCTTCGAGAGATTCCGGGATATCGCCGTTAGCTGTCATTCTGATTCCGATTTTTCGTATTACTGCTGAATTTCTGAAATAATTGAATGATGTTGGGTGTAGAAGAGGTCTGCGCAAAATATACATTTGCGCGGCACCAAATAAATAACAACTATGTGATAGTAAGATATATGAACGATATATGAACCGAATGATATAAATGAAGCAAATAGCATGCAACTAAAATAGAACATATTTTATAAAATCAATTATTACTTTGGTGTTACTTAGTATTATTATTAAAAGGGCAAGCAACATTTTGCGACTCATATTCCTTGATGAGAGTAAAACCATTATTTAAAGGGTGATGAGCAGCTTTAAAGCAAGGAACATTATAACATTATAACATTGTTTTCAAGTATTCGATTGCAGAAGTGTATTGAATAATTTAAAACTATAGAATTTTAATCTCGTACAAGTATTAGTCATTCGGAAAAATTTCGGTGATAAATAGCGAAAATGATCATCAGAATGGAATCAGAAATTATTCGACGAGCGATACTGCAATAATAGAAACCATGAATAAAAGGACTTTAGAAATTTTCTCGAAATGTTGCATGCTCACGCCGAATTCACTTCGATAAATTATCTATGCTTATAAGGAAAACTCAAATTAAATCAGCTTTTTTGCGTCATGTAATAATTCTGCGATAATGTATAAAATTAATAGCGTCAATAAACTAAAGTAATCATCTCTTTCTCAAAAAAATTATAACGCTATTGCTTTCAAATGTTTTTGGTCAGACAGCTTCATTCATCAAGTTACTGCAAATTTATTCTATTTATAATCAATGAAGCAGAAAACAGGCACCAAAGACGAATTTCTTACCAAAACATAGCAAATGTATGTTGTTTGATTATATCAAAATTTTTTTAAAATTATGGATGATATCCCGAAATTTTTTGCTTTTTTTTAGCATTGGAAGAATGCAGTGAAATATCGTCGATATTACTTCAATAACCTTTTTTTCTTTTTCTTTCAATTTTCTTTCCTATTCACCAATTTTTTTTACCTATACAGAATAGTTGATATCTGAATTAATTCAGATTGCAAATCAGAAAAATCAATTTCCTTTCCTATTCGCCAATTTTCTTAGAATTGCTTCATTGATCATAAATAAAATAAAGAACATAAAATGGAATTAAAATAATTGAGTCTCAATAGAAAACATAGTAAAAGTACAGAAACTATTTTAATACGAACTATTTTAATACCTCACTGATGAATGCCAACCTATATCCAGAAGTTTTTTAGCTAAGGGCAATAATCCATAAAATAAATAACCTATAAACTTACTCTGGAAAAGGTTTCAGATTAATGTCGAAGTTGCCATGAAAAAAAATTAGTTAGATAAATGGCCACAGTATTTTAAGCAATTATTTTGTCTGAAAAATAGGAATATGGATTTTGAGTAATGAGGACGGAGAGGATCAAATATTAATTTCTTAAATATTAATTTTAATTAAGAATCAAATTTTTACGCGTTCGCGGAACTGATAAAATTTTACATGATTCCATATACCTCCGCTCAAATACCTTCTGCATTAACCATTTAAGGGTATTGCCTTCCCTAATTAGAGCAATTTCTTCGACACCCAGCACAAGAGTTGATATATATTTTATTTGTTAAACCCTGGCTGGTCAAAAGTGGGGTAGGCCAGTCAAGACCTAGGTTAATACAATCGGGAAAGATTTTGAACGTATAGGTGGATCAGCGATATATGGGCTTAGACGATGGAAGAAGGAATGGCTTCTATTTACTATCAGTGATCTAGCAGCTTGTAAAGGTCTTACCCTTCTACTCAGTGGAGCCAGCCTAACGACTAATGATGATAGCCATTAGAAGAATAAGATAAAGAATCAAAAGTAAAACTTTAAGCAAAACTAAGATAACCAAAAAATATAAGGTATTCATTAAAAATAAGGATATTACAAGTATTTTTAGCATCGCCAATTTTTGCTATTTACATATTTTGTAACATGAGAAATTTTAAATTTGGTCACTCGAGACCCAAGTAAAGTAGGTTTGCAGAAGCACCTGGATTTCTTCTTTAATAATAATGTTAAAACTCCCAAAAGGTAACCGAAGCAAGGTGGGATGGACTCATTTAGCCAATTTAATTGGAAAGGCCAAGACTTAGCAATTTTAATACTATACTATATATTAATACTATATATATATATATACTATATATGCACTATATTAATCCAATATTGTGTGCGAAAGCAGTTATACAAAATAACTGCAAATAGCTTCTTCTTCGCCAAATATTTAAAATTACAAATGTTTATTTAAAAATAATAAGGCAAATATTAACAGCAAAAGAGCAAATTTTTCAACGCTTCTCGTTGTCTCGTCTTACGAAAATTTTAATATAACAATGAGACCAAATGTTTAAATCGAAGTTTTCAATTATTCAAATTTCTAATCGCAGAAATCGCGCTTTTTGAATAAATTTTTACCGAAGTTTTTTTTCACGAAAAAAATTTTATAAATGAAAAATTCTCAAAATGGCAAACAAAATATTAAATAATGATGAAAAACAAAAAAAACTTTAAAAAATTTTTTTTGGTTCCGTAGCGATAATTAAAATTTGTTTTAAAATATAATTAAATATTTAAACTTTAGTTTTCACTAATAAATTTGAATATACGGAAACAAGATGATCGGAAGGTATTTTGCTTCGACTCGAGCCATGGATCCCATTTTTTGATGGGAATAAACCTGTCGTTAAAAGTGAAATGCAGATAGTGCTGGAGATTCATCTGTTCTTCCATAGTCAAATGTTTGGCTGGTGAAATTCACTGTTACACTGTTAGTAGTAAACAAAGCTAAAAACGATAAGAACTATTAGGCGAGAAAATACGAACGGATAAAACTTCCAAGTATCAAAATTATAAATAAGTAATGCACGAAGAAAAATGTGTTTTATAATTTCAATAATATCTGAGCGACTGCTAGGGGTCCACCTGTATTTCCTCCTCCAAGTGACTCTGCGATGAAGGAATGTGAATATAATAATATGGCGCTCGCGTCTTCATACGGGCATGATACCGCTAGGCCGGTGTTATATGCGGATAAACATGTAAATCGAGCTTGGTAAAACGATTCCAAAATTTAAGACTAGAATGAACTCTTCAGTGTTGGCGTAGAATATCAGAATGCTCATGGACGTTGAGCGATAAATTTTTGTCCAAATATCATCGTCTGCTTGTCAGAAGACTGCCTTCCTCACTTCGTGATTCAATTTTATTATTATTATTATATTATTATTAATTATTATTATAATATTGTTATTATTATTAATTATTATTATTATATTATTAATTATCATCATTATTATTGTTATTATTATTATTATTACTATTATTACTATTATTATTACTATTATTACTATTATTATTACTATTATTATTATTACTATTATTATTATTATTATTATTATTATTATTATTATTATTATTATTATTATTATTATTATTATTATTATTATTATTATTATTATTATTAATTATTATTATTATTATCCGCGTGGCCTACCCGATTCAAAGGGAATTTCTGCAATATCTCAATTATCAGAATGCATGCTCCTATTTTATGACTGCGATAAAGAGAGGTTCTATGCTTCAGTTGCTAATGCATCTCTTCAAAAGCTGGCATAGTCGGAGGCGAATGAAATACGCAAAATGGTCATGATGTTGCCACGGTGAGCTCTGAGTTAGTAAATGTGGTCAGTATACCAAAGTGCACCTTCTTCGTTTTATAAACGTTTTGCTACCAATACATGTTTTTGGCATCGAAGAAAACACCTAGTTACATATGGAACACTACCCATAACTAACATTCCAACCTGATTGATTATGCCTTATTATGTCGTTGGAAAAGTTCCACATTAGATAGCATTCCCTATCGCGGCGCTAAAATATCAGTCTTCACAAACCGGACCATGTTATGGTTCTACTTAAAATTCGCAAAAAACTGATGAAGCTCAAGCCTTCTATCGTTATCGGTCCATCGGTTGATTGTTCAATTATATTAGATTATTATTGATCTAGAATAGTTTTTGATTATTTTGTGGCACGGAATTCTTTCTCTCTGTCATAATTTCAATAAAAAGTTTGAAAAAAGGGATACCCAATAACCAGTAACCTGCACAGGATTTCGGACAAATCGTTTATGAGTAATCTACTCAACGAAGCCGAATTCTTTTGGCACTTTAGCTTTAGAAATAAAAGGTGATATCACAAGATGCTATGCCTTCGAGGCAGACCGTTAGATAAATATTATTTATATTTATTAGTGCTTTTTCTTTTTTTCATTCTTTCTATCGTTTCTTTCTCGATTTTGCTATTAGTATACAATGACAATAAATAAATGATAAGGAATGATGTTACACTATAGAAAGAGATGGAAAAGAGATGACTCGAGAAAATTGACAGAATTTGATGTATACCACAAGTGTGACCGAATAGCTTGGAGACATCTTACCCTTGTAGCCAGCGGACCCAGTCTAGCTAGATGAGAGCTATCGAAAGAAGAAGATATATATCACTGATAGCTCGGTTAGATACTTCAAAAGTATAGAGCAACAGCGGCTGGACGTGATAAAAATCATTATTGAAATGATATGGCCTTGAATATTAAATAGACATCTGCTCAAATAGGCGATAGTAGGGATTATTCCTCCTTCATAAAACAAGCATGACTCGGAGAATGATCAATGAAATAGCCTGAGATAGTGATGTGCCTATTAAGGCTATCAAACGCCTCGTGCAGTATAGATAATTCTGGTGCATCATCTCAGACATAGTTGAAGCGTTCGCTGAGACATATATTTGCAGCTACTATTGGTCAACAGAACAAGAAATAATTGTAGAAGCTCCTGTCATCTTCAAAAAAGCTCCTGGAGAGGACGATCTCCAGGCTGAAATTTTCAAATGTTGTTCACCGTCTTTATACTTACCTCTGGTATGGAAGAAAGAACTAATACAAATGCTGAAGCGAGACAATACTGCTTGCTCCCAGTTTGTAATTCCCAACAAGGATGATAGGATATACTTTGATAACTATCGAGGAATCTACTAG